TCGTCGGCAATGCTGGGATGCTGCCCTCCAATCGGTCCCTTGCCTCCTGTTACCAATTGCTGAGTTCCCCATTTCAGAGTCTTCAACCTTTCCTCCTGTTTCTTGGTCACATCCTACAGAGAATGGGGGCTTGAGGGAGAAAGGGGCAATTCCCAGCCACTGCTTCATTGCAGGCAGGGGTGCCAACCTCCAGGTGTGGCCTGGAGGTCTCCTGGAATTACGGTTCTCTAGGCAACAGAGATCAGTTTCCCTGGAGAAAATGGCTGCTTTGGAGGGAGGAGAGAAGGGCCGTGTACTCCACTGTGGACCCTCCCAGCCCCAAATACCCAGGAATTCCCCCTTATTGGAGTTGGTAACCTTAAAAAGGTAAAGGTTCCCTTGCTCGAAAACCAGTCAAATCCGACTCTAGGGTTGCGGTGCTCATCTCCGTTTCAAAGCCGAAGAGCCAGTGCTGTCCGAAGACGTTTCCGTGGTCATGTGGCTGGCATGACTAAACACCAAGGCACAGAACGCTGTCACCTTCCCACCGAAGTGGTACCTATTTATCTCCTTGCAATTTCTTGCTTTCGAACTGCTAGGTTGGCAGGAGCTGGAACTAGAGACGGGAGCTCACTCCGTCATGCGGCACCCGGGTCTCAAACTGCTGAACTACCGACCTTCCATAGCCTGCAGTTCAGCATCTTAACCACTTGAGCCACCGCAGCTCCTTAGTTGCAGGTTTTTTCCTGGCATCCCTCCAGGTGTCTTGCAACCCAGGCTATTTAGCTGGAAATCCCCAGTGGGCTGATTTCTAAATGTAATGCTTGGAAACTCTTTCCTCAAATTCCAGGTGCAGGAGGGTGAGTTAAGGAGAGGGAAATGTTGCTCAGATTACGCTCTGAGTCTGGTCTTCATTAACTTAGATGGATTTCTAAATGGTCTCTTGGGGGAGTAGTTGGTGGATGACTCTGCTATTGGGAGGGGGGGGTAAGCCATAGGTTCTGGAGCCAAAGCCTGGTGAGACTCTTTCAATTTCAGCCTTGGAAAGACCCCTAGAAAAATATTTATCAGTATCCTTTTCTGCAAGTTCTAGTGGTAAGCACTGTAATTAAAACTGTTTCAGAGTTCTGCAGAAAGCTGTCCCTAAACTTGTTGGTCACTTTTTTGCCTGCAGTTAACATCGAGGTCAGGCACCAGGGCTTGCACCGGTTTAGACCAACTAATTCAATTCAGGGAAATAGATCTTGGGCGGGAAAGTCTGGCGGCAAAATCCACAAAAGGTGTATTTGCACACACAATGAAAAGCTTCTTGGAATTTGGACTTCTGCCCTGCAGTGAGTGGGAGAGAGAAAGTGGCAGTTAGGAAAGGAACCACCCACCTGGAGACTGTGCTGGGGGTGGGTGGGAAGAGTGCTTAGATCCCAAGACAAGCGGTATCCACTCTCCAAAATCTTTGAAAATGATACACACAGGTCTGGAAGCCCTTCTCCCTGTGATGTGGGGTTTGCACTCTTGCTAGCTGAGATCAGTGGTTTCCAGGGAGCCCTGGTCAGTTCTTTGGATATATGCCAAGAACTCTTCAGCGAAACCATCACTAAAGGTCGACGAGACCTCTTGCAAGTCAGTGCCCCCCCCCCCCAATCACAACAAAACTACACAGGAGAGTGCTGGCTCCACTCTGGAGACACACTATCAACTCCAGCCAGAGCCCCAAGGCCTGGGAAGGCCCTTCCATGAGCCAGGAACACACCTTGGAACATGTCCCAGAATCCTTTGCATTCTTGGGCAAACTCATCACTGTGGAAGATCGTGTGTTTTAAAACACACTTGGCAAAGCCTGGCCTTGTGAGGCTTCTGACACTGGATGCCATCTAAGGTTTATCTGTGGTGGTCTGGGGTGGGGGGTAGAGAAAAGCATATTCCCATGTGAGATTTAACAGCAGTTTGTGCTTAATCCAGTGCACAATATGAACCATGAAGTCATGCTCAACAGAACACAACATTCCCTTCCTGTGTGATTACTAGGGTTGCCAGCTATGGGTTGGGAAATACCTGGAGATTTGGGGGGGAGGGGGGAGCCTGGGGAAGGCAGGGGTTTGGGAGGGGAGGGACCACAGCAGGATATAATACCATACAATCCATACTCCAAAGCAGCCATTTTCTCCAACTGATCTTGGTGATCTGTAGATCAACTGCAATAGTGGGAGATCTCCAGGTGCTACCTGGAGATTGGCAACTCTAGTGATTACTCACATTAACAACAGGCTTTTCAGGTGAATATGCAAAAGGGTCCTCTTCACGCATTACTCAGGGCTAACTCAGACTGGCCACTGAAAGTTCGTTTTCACAGGGAGTCTGTTTCTGCTACACATATTTACCCCTGTTGCTCATGTTGCAGTTTCTAGTATAAACATCTTCAAGGTACAGCTTACCAAGGGGGGGGGGGAGTAATGTGTGAACTGGCTGTAAGAGAACACACAGTTTTAAAGTCCAAGAAGACTCTTGCAGTAGCTTGGCTCCTATGTTCTGGTCTCTAGATGTTTGCAGTTCCAGAATGGGAAATGGCTGGCCTGTGTTCAAATTTTCTTCAGCTTGTCTGCTGGAGGCGCGGGGGGGGGGGGGGGAGCAGCTTCCCATTCAGGTACGCGAGCTCTACCACCACCCCGTGGTGGCTCTACTTAGAGGCAGTTTGTGGTCTCCGAGAGCCACCTACCAGTAGAAAGAAGCAGCGCAGATGGAAGCTGTACAGCTCTGCCTGTTCCAGCCAGAGAAATCGGGCGCCGGCAGCTTTGCTGTCCCCTGAAAATTGGTACCAGGTAAAGACACTGAGGAGCTGAGGTGGCTCAGAGGTTAAGACGCTGAGCTGCAGACTGGAAGGTCTGTAGTCTGGCAGTTCGAGAGTGCCGCGTGACTGCCAACCTAGCAGTTCGAAAGCAAGAAATTGCAAGTAGATAAATAGGTACTGCTTCAGTGGGAAGGTAACAGTGTTCTGTGTGCCTCAGTGTTTAGTCATGCCGGCCACATGACCACAGAAAAATGGAAACGTCTTCGGACAGCACTGGTTCTTTGGCTTGGAAACGGAGATGAGCACCGCCCCCTAGAGTTGGATTCGACTAGCTTTTGAGCAAGGGAAACCTTTACCCAAAGACGCTGATATCAGTGGAACAAGCTGTCACTCTCCGTTTACATAAATGAAAACAGGCAGCAGTTTCTGCATCAACAAAAGCCAGTTTGGTGTAGTGGTTAAGTGTACGGACTCTAATCTGGGAGGGCCGGGTTTGATTCCCCACTCCTCCACTCGCAGCTGCTGGATGACCTTGGGCAAGCCATAGTTCCTGTCAGAGGTGTTCTTGAAAAGAGCAGTTTGTCAGAGCTCGCTCAGCCCCACCTACCTCACAGGGTGCCTGTTGTGGGGAAAGGAAAGGAGTTTGTAAACTGCTCTGAGACTCCAAGTGAAGGGCGGGGTATAAATCCAATCTCCTCCTCCTCCTCCTCCTCTTCTTTTACAAGCCAAATACTTCTGCAGCCTGAATTGGAGAGAATTCTATTTCTGCATATAGCAATGCAGGATGCTACTTTAACTATGCAAGCTTGATTTACACAAAAATAAAGGCTTTACTCATAGGTAATGATTTCTGCCCCTTTCTTTAGGCTAGTTTACATAGGGTGCAGGCTTCAGCCTGTCTATGAACACACATGAAGCTGCCTTATGCTGAATCAGACCATTGCGTCCATCAAGGGCAATACCATCTACTCAGCTCTCCAGGGTCTCAGGCTGAGGTCTTTCACATCACCTCCTACCTCATTCTTTCCACTGGAGATGCCGGGGATTGAACCTGGGACCTTCTGCATATTCAACACTTCCTCCCAGAGAAAGTATTATTCAGAGTGCAGCCAAAATGTCTCCCCAAACTTGTGGAATGTGAAATAATCATGGAAAAGGAATCCCTCTGAGCATATGCAGAGTGTCAACATAGTAAAACAAGACAACCGGGGAAGTCTCTTTCAACACATCGGGTTTTTTTTCCTATCTCATTTTATTTGACACAAAAATGTACAAAATAATGGGTGAGTGATTTTTTTAATTGTTTATATTTAAAAATCTAATAGGTGTGACTGAGCCATTTTGAATGGAATCAGTGCTGAAGGTTTTTTAACGATGATGCCCTTCACCATCCCTCAATGCTCCTGGACCTCCCCAGGCCAGTCAACAGTCACTCTCCAGACATTATTTACATCTCAGGCAGGACGAAATCTGTCAGGTTCTCACATAGCTCCCCCCAGACCCCACCCCCTTTCTCGAACCACCTCTGGACCCCAGAAGAGTTCCAGGAGAGACCATTCCCCCCAGTCCCAAGATGGCGGCTGGGGCTTCTGCATGGGATTGACCTCTCTGGGCCAAACTCTGCCCTTCTTCCTTCCTGAAGCTTGGTCAGACTCTGACAATTTGTAGGGGTTGAGCAGAGGACAGAGCACGACAATGCAAATGGGATTGGACACAGAACAGCCTGGAAGTAGGGTTGCCAGCCTCCAGGTGGCACCTGGAGATCTCCTGCTATTACAATTGATCTCCTGATGACCAAGATCGGTTCCCTTGGAGAAAGTGACTGCTTTGGAGGGTGGACTCTGTAGCATTATGCCCTGCAGAGGTCCCTCCCTTCCCCAAGCCCCACCCTCCCCAGGCTCCACCCCCAAAATCTCCAGATATTTCCCAACGCAGAGCTGGCAACCCTACCTGGAGGGCTGAGGGGACAGGAAAGATTCGCCCTTTGGTCAGAGTTCAATGCCAAGTTACCTCAGGAGGTGGGAAAAGTTGGCAGGTTGAGTTGGCAAGAGTCGCTGTCCTAATTTTATATATGTATATATATTTTTATTTATATATATTTAAAATCTCCCCCTCTTGTTTTTGTTTTGGTGTTTTTTTTACAAAATGAAGAATATGGTGGCCAATGGATATTTATAGCAACATGTCAACATTAAAACTTCAGTTGAAGGTTCCATGGAGTAATTCTCTGGGCCGCTGGTGAATGGTTCCCCTTGACCTCCTCCCCCCCCCCCGGGGGAGGTCTTCATTGCAGCAAGGCCCGGATCTGCTTGGATGTGGTGTCGTCATTGAGGTGCCGAGTGGTGTACCTAAGAAGAAGCAGAGAGCTGTGGTGAACAAATGTGCACCTTGTCTGTCTTGTGGGAGGCCTGCTCGGGTACTGGTCTGCAGGGCTGTGTGACGCTCATCACTGCACATGCAAGTAGGGGACAGGTGAGCAATGAGGAATGATTGAATTGCAAATACCCTGGAACTGATGGCTTGGAGGGACTCTTTCCTTGCCTCTGCTTTTCTGGAAAGGCACACCAACCTCACTTCCCCATCTGTTAAGTGAGGAATAACAGTGATTCACCTCATTGCGTGGCTCTGTATAGACAGCCAGCATGGTGCAGGGGCTAGAGTGTCAGGCTAGGACCTGGGAGTCCCAGGTTCAAAGCACCACACTGCCAAGGAAGCTTGCCACGTGATCTTGGGCCTAACCTACCTCTCAGGGTGGTTGTGAGGGTAATGCGGAGGAAGGGAGAACACTGTAAGCCACTTTGGTTCCCGATGGGGAGAAAGGTGGATATAAATGAAGTTAATAATAATAAATAATATAGAGGAGTTCCTTTTACTAAGCCAGATCTATGTGCATCTAGCACAGGTGGTAGCTCAGGGCAGTGTCTGTCCCAACACTGGCTTCTGAATTCCTATGCCTTGTAATGCCACATCTTTATGCTCTTCTCTCTCCACTCAACCAGTTTTGGATTCTAGACAGATGGTGAGCTCGGGTCAAACTGGGCTATTTGGACCACCTCGATCATTGTACAGTAGTGAGTGAGCTTTCAAGTTCCCTTGAATTCGTGTGCCGTCCAAGGTGCTCTCAAAGGAGCCTCTCGGGTGACCTTACCTCAGCGCGTTGAGGAGGCCCTCTGTGCTGTTGGACGGCTGGTCTTTCAAGACCTTGATGCACCCTTTCATCTAGGAGCATTAAAACAAATCAGAAGCTTGGTTAGGCAAATGGTCAAAGGGAAGGGGGACGGGTGGGTGAAATGCAACCAAATAGGTTCCCATGATAGGAAGAGCTTTCATAAGAGAGAGAGAGAAATCCTTTTTGTCCCCATTGGAGCTTTTTCAGAATGTGTGAATAAGCCTGAGGAAGCGGGCAATGCAGAAAGCCACCCTTTGAAATGGGAACAACCGTCCCACCCAATTTTAGGCTGCCCCAATGCATGTGTCTTTGATACACTCCTGAAGGAAGTGCATGATTCGTCGCTAGTTGGTGCAAGAGCATCCATGTTCTTAGGAGTGCATCACGTCTGTGGATGGGGGCACAGCAAGATGGGTCAAAGTATATTTGGCCAAGTGTTCTGATGGTTGGCGTGGCCTCTTTGTGGATGGGAGACAACGGCAAGTTCAAACAGCAGGAAATGAGAGTGTCTTCTATTAAAGTGCTCGGGGATTGTTCCACTGTTTCCAACCCGAGAAAGCCAGACTGGCCTTGGAGAATCAGGAGGATTTTGACCACAACAGACCAGAGGTTGAGTTCAGCAGGTGCTGATGTGGGCAAAGAAGAGGCCTTCACCGAGAAAGAGGGACCAGAGAACTCCAGTCCTGACTGATCCACTTTAGTTCCACTTTAATGGTGGAAGGACTCCTTGAATTAACAGCAGCAATCAAAATGCAAATCCCAACATTATTGCTGGTAGGACTTGCTCTCTACAGAGCAAAGGATTTAAAGTTCATCCTCATAAATAAGCAATAAGATTCCCATTGGTGGGCTTTCTGAACGGGGAAGGGGGTCTTTAAAAACCTGACTTTGAAACAAGGAGAAAAACTCTGATAATAATAAAAAAGGAGAGGAGAATACAATGGGCAGGAGGAGAGAGACTGAGGGAGATTCAGTGGCTTTCACACACATTAGATAATACACTTTGGCAATTGTTTGCAAATGGGTTTTCCTGTTTCACACAGGAAAATCCACTTGCAAACAATTGCTAAAGTGTATGTTCCAGTGTGTGTGTGAAAGAAGTAATCTGAACTTAAACAATTAACACTTTCTAGAACTGGAAAGTTAATTGCAACACAACTTTGGATGAGGTGTATGCCACCCCGAGTGCCTTGGAGAAAGAGTGGATAGAAATATACTAAATAAAGAAGTAAACTTTAGGGGTGGGATGCGGGACTACTGATGCACCAATTAGCAGGCGTAAGCATGACAGGATGGCTTCTTCCCCCCACCCCATTCAGATGAGCACAGGGTTACTGTTTGTATGAAAACTGAAATGCCACTCACATCAATTTTGGAGGTCTTGGCAAAAGCCCCCACAGGATGGACATGGTCATAGAGAATTATGACCCCCACCATCACTCGCATGCAGAACAGGAGTGTTTCCGTGTTGGTGAACCGGCTCCGATATTCCCTGTGGCGAAGGAGAGAGGAGAGATCCAGTGAAGAGCATTTTCCCATTTGCTGGCACTGTCAGATGAGAATCTGGATCCTGCCAAGTGCTTCTCCGCAGAGCTAAGTGCACCAGTCTGCTTCGGCCCTCTCTTGGTACCAGACAACCCACAGGAAGCTGAACTGATGCCTCTGACTAATGAGTGGTACTCCTGTGAGTGTGGGACCCAAGAATGCAGCCCCCAAAGTCCCTGAAGACTTACCTGTTTCCACAGAAGTCCCCTAAAATCAGTGGGAGAACCCAGACCCCAGACACCTGGAGACAAAAAGGAGCCAAGCCTTGCTGTGGGTTCCCTGTGCCATGAGACCAGCTGCCTGGAGAGGCCCTTGTAGCATGAGGATTATTTTTATTTTTGCTGTCAAGTCACAGCTGACTTACGGTGACCCTTCATGGGGTGTCCAAGGCAAGAGATGTTCAGAGGCCATTTGCCATTACCTGCCTCTTCCTTGGTGGTCTCCCATCCAAAGACTAGCCTAGACTGACCCTACTTATCTTTGGACATCAGGTTAACGTGGGCCATCCAGGTTAGGGAGACATGAGGACTAGCAGAGGCTTTTTGTTTAAGGACCACACTTAAGTCCATGGTGACTGATCCTGACTCCTCCTACTTATTTTGTGCCTTTCTGCCTGGCATTTGATGTATGTGGATTTTACTATGGACCATCCCAGATGGCAACAGGGCCAAAAAAGCAGACTCTGCATTTAGTGAATGAAAGCAAAGAACTCACGGAGTTTCCAGCATCACCCGGCAGACACAAGCCATGGTGCTTAGGCAGTCAGTCGTGTCCTCTATGGGGAGAGTTTTGTTCTGAAATGAAGGAAAGGGAAAAGATTGGTCTACCAGTCTCCTTATTAGTCCTTCCCAGGGAGAGGGCAAAAGCAAGAACTCATGTCTGATGGGAGAAATGCCACTCCTTACACCAACAGATTACCTCCTTTGAGGCAAGGGAGTCTGCCCTTAGAGCTTGTCTAATAATAATAATACCAACTGTGTGCATTAAGTCACAACCAACTTATGACAACCTGTCTTGGGGGTTTTAATGCAAGAGACGAACAAAGGTGGTTTGTGATTGTCTTGCCTCTGCATAGCAACCCTGTTTTTTTTCTCCCATCTGAGTACTAACCAGGGTCAAACCTGCTTAGCTTCCAAGATCTAATGGAACCAGGCTAGGTTAGGCCAGGGCTCTCTACTACCAGCTACAAATTTAAAACTGTGTCAATTCAGCCAGTCAAGGCACTCTGTGATTTGTAGTTCCTGAAAGCAAGAGGCTTCCTCAGTTCTTTGTCATGGAGATGGACCTCTGCTCTATCTGTTCCGCAGAGATATCACTCACCTCTGAAACAAACTTAGTAGTGGCGTTGCTCAGAGTTTTCAACATTGGGGTGGCTTCTGCATAGAACAGGGACATCCGATTGGCCATTTCATTGTTCACTTCGCTCTCCGCATCTAACTGTGGAGCAGGAAAGGATAAAGGGTGGTGATGGGCGGGGTGGGGGGACATTTCTGCTCACCATTCCTGACAGTGATGGCTTCATTCTCCAGTACTCATGCATGTGAGGATTTCCCCATCTGCACTGCTCCAAACTCTGGGAAGGGCAGAAATGCACTCACCTGCAAATTATTGATTCGGTTTCGACTGATGGTTCTCCTATAGTAGCTAAAGTCATTCTGGATGGCAGGGTTGGTCATCTGGCATGCAGAGGGAGACAGCAGAGGGGATTTTTAGTGGCCTCGCAATGTGAAACAGGTTGCTTCTGTCCTGACATCAGAGAAAACTGAGCATGCTTTTCATAAAGTCCTCATCTGTTCCAATCATTCAGAGCATGTTTTGTGTGTGTGCACAGATGTGTACACAAGCTGCTCAATGCGCACACATTGTTTGCATAAAGCACAATTCAGAAGCTGTTATGGGAGGGCTGTGGCACTTTATCTTGAGATGGCATTCCCCACTAGGGTGACTAGAAGGCAAGGGACCCCCGTCTGCGAGCAAAATCCTGCCAGTCGGGTGCTCTCCTGACCCCCTTCCAGCACTACCTTGAGCTCATCGAAACTGAGAGTGAAGTGTAAGATTTCTGCAAACTGCTTGGCCAGGGCCTGTTCTCGCTCCAGGTGCTGAGTCGGCGCGTATGGTGGACTGGTGAGGGCTTCCAGCAGGCTCCGCAAAGCATTCTCTGTGAGAGACAGAAGGCAGAAAAGGGCACATCACCTACAGAGCAGACGGAGCCCACGACCCAGACCCCATTTTGCTAGGTGGGTCGCTGACCAGGGAACGAGGCAGGGGGAGGCTGCTTCAGCACAGTTAGTTTCTGAAGTTGAGGCCTGTGAGTAAGGCTGTGGAGCAAGCCCCAGGAGTGAATGTTGAGCTCTTCTTAATTTACCAGTGCAGCACACCTATGCACATTGTGGGTGAAGGCACTGCTGTGTTCAATATGCTTATGAAACCAAAACAGAAGTTGGAAAATCCAACTTTAAGAAGCAACAAGGCTGAGTACCCAAAGGCTGGGTGAAAGAATTAATTTTTTTGAGAAATAAATTAAACCAAAATATATGTATTTATTACAAAGTGCACTAAAACTATGCTTTAAAAACATTGGCACAATGCACCCTTGGTGAATATTTGAATCAAGAAGTCCTGAATCTATATAACCTGATACATTTCAATATTGCTAGGTTAAAAACCTTGAACCAATAAAACAGGACTGATGATTCAATATATCTAGGTTGATAACCTTGAACCATGCTAAAACAGGACTAAACGTGTTTCAGACTCCAAGGCCTTCCTCAGTGGTCAAATTTTTGTATATACATGCACACTATAACATATAAACATGTGATAGTGCCAAGACAGGTTGATTATAAGGCATACGCTGTGTGGCAAAAGAACTGGGTTGTGTGAGGGCTATCTTAAACTTTTTAAGCACACACATCTAAGGAATGCAGGTTTAATAGTTCTTTCTGACCATGGCTATCATAACCCTCAGAGTATGCACATCTGTAACTGTCAGTTAATGGCTGATACATATATGCCGACTCCAAGAGTTGTGATAGTCTTATACCGAATCAGACCATTGGTCTGACAGCATCTCTCCAAGGTCTCAGGAAGAGGTCTTTCACATCACCTCCTACTTGATTCTTTTAATAGGAGGTGCCAGGGATTGAACCTGGGACCTTCTGCATGCCAAGCAGATGCTCTACCACTGAGCCACAACTTGTTTTCAAATGAGCCAAATATCTCCTTGATCAGAAATGACTTGTAGCCTCCACTCGAGCCACAGCCTGGGCCCTCCCCATCAGACACTGCTTTGCTGATCACTGTGTGCCACCAAGTTGCCATCTGGCAGGAGAACAGAGGCCACTGAAGATACAACCTAGAACTGCCTGGTCCTGTGAATCAGATGACCCCTAAGGGCCAATCCTGCACCACTGTCAGCTTTAAAGTTCCCACATTCACTGCTTCCTTGCAGCCTGGACAGGTTTCTCTCTACATGGCCTGCCCCCCTGTCTTGCTCTAACTACTGGCTAGCTCTCGCATCTACACAACATCACCTTCGGGGGTGTGGTAAATGCAATTTCTTGCCGCGTGAGGGCACATACATCTTTCTCACTCAGTCAAGATGGAAAAATGGTTTCCAGGTGAACTGGGCAGCAGGACACCATCTATGGGGTGCAGAAGGAGAGAAGGAAGTGGGGCTTTGGTTCACTTCCTCCTCCAAATCCCAATGCTAAGCGTATGCTTACCAAGTCTAAGAGAGAATTCATAAAACCGTTTCAGCTTTGCCACTAGAGGACAGACTGCATTCCACGCTTTCTCTTGCAGCTCCAAGTCACTGGGGTTCTGGATTGCCTGCAACCAAAATATCCAAGCAGTGAAACTCTTTCCTCTACACTACACTAGCTTTCCAGATACAAGGAAAGAAGGACAGGGTCTCTCCTCAGCTTTATCCCAGACCTGACCTTAACCCTGCCAGCCAGTCCCAAAGGCTTCTTTCCTTCCATGTCCTAAGCACAAACGGGTCTCAACAAGCTTCCTAGCCTCAGTCCATGAGGTTCCTTTTCAAGCCCCAGTTTCACCAGAAGCTCCCCAGCCTATGCTGGTCCTGTCAGCCAATCTGGATCAATCCCACAAACATGTGCACTGTGAGTGGGGTACTGGCGCTCTCTTTCTGCAGGGGCCACGCCAATCTTCTCTGTGTCATTCCAGTTTTAGTATGTGTGCTGCCAAAGGGAGCACTTTTTCCACAGGGGCTGCCAGGAGTGCCAGATCCCCATGGAAGACAAGAAGAAAGCAAGGGATGAATCCAGCAAAGCCCAAGGCTATGGAGGAAGGCACTTCATTTGTGAGGTGCCTTTGTGAGATTTGGAGCTTGTTGGGTAAATGTGTCTATTTCTGGAACATTTTGACATCTGAATTTGCATTAATCAAGAACATGATGGTTTAAATTGCCTACACATCTATTAAGCTGAACAACTTCATTTAAAACATAACTTTCCTGCAGTTCAAGTCTCTTTTTTCGTTAAGAGTTTCATGTTTCTATATGGGTAAGGAGCCACGTCTTACCATCTATGTCCTCCTGTCCCAGTCTCATTCCCAGCCTGAGCCCGCTGATAGTGGGGGTGCCGCTTATCTTATAACAGTCACATCGCCATCGCATTGTTAATGGTTTGAATAACTTACCGTGCATTTTATATTAATATTTATATTACTTTATATTGTTGTTTTATCTATGGTTCTCTTGTAAGCCACCCTGAGCCTGCCCCGGCGGGGAGGGCGGGGTAAAAATCTAATAAATAAATAAATAAAATTTGCGGGCCTTGTGGAAATCAAGCTCATTTTGAGAGTGGCAGGCCCTGCTCTGTCTGTACCTCCAGGGCAGGTTCCAGATTTTTTTTTGGGGGGGGGGGGTCTCAGGCAGAGAGTTCCCAGGGCCCCTGTTCCCTTCTCCACCAACCACCAAGCACTCGTGCCCTCCCTCCCTCCCACCCACCCACTCGCATGCCTCCCTCCTTGTGTGCCCTTCCCTTCTCGGTTTACAATCCCTGCCACTACCCATGCTCACAGCTGCCTGTAGCCCTTTCCCCTGCGGCATTCGGCACTGTGGGCAGCAGAGAGCATGGGTGCTGGAGTGCTGGCATGGGTGCTGGAGAGCGGGCAGAGGGTGCCAGAACCTCAGGCCCCAGCAGCTGTCCCACCTCAAGGTATGCCAATGCTGGCCCTGCGTACCTCTCTAATCTCTTGTCCAGCTCCCGTGTAGGACTGCAATTCCGCCAGGATGGTCTGGGCCTCTTCCAGGACGGCATTCACCTGGTTCCACACAGCCGTCTCGGCTTCCGTGGGCTGTGCATCTACACCAAACCCACCCAGAAAGAGAGCATTCAGAAGATGCCTTGCCCAGCAGGGGTGTCAGCCTTGTCCCTATGCAGGGTGGACACGGGAAGTCTGTAGGGCTTGGTGGGGCAGGGAATGAGGGAGGGGGAGGGAAGGTGCCAAAAACATCCTTCTGCAGACGGACACTCAGGGCTGGCCCAGCTGCATAAGCAAACCCAACATTCTCAGGGGCATCAAGGGAGCAGCCACACGTGAGCTCAGAGCTCTGCCCCCTCCTGGTCCCTCCGCAGCATAGCCAGGGATCCTGGGACACACTGCTTGGGGATGTGAAAGGGCCTGGGCCCAGAAGTGCCTGGGCAAGCCGGTCAGGAGCTGGCACCTGCAAGAGAGAGGATTTGCAAAGCATCTCTCTCGCAAGCCCACAGGTCTGCTTTTGGGGCTCTTGGTTGCACAGGAGGAAAAGTCAGAAAATAAAGATGCAGGGCAAAGAAAATCAGAAGCATGGAAACCAAACTGAAACCAAGTAAATGGCAACATTGGCAAGGAGTGGCCCACCCTATCTGGCCAAGGGACCCTTCTCCCCCACTTCTCCCCCTCTGCCTAGATCCTCTTTATCACAGTCCTGGTCTCTTGTGATTAAGACTATGCACATCCTTCCGCTGGCAGGCAGCTGAGTGACAGTAGCAGATTCAGGGGAGTACTCCACTCCGTGCTCCAGGCACACAGAAGCTTTGCCCCCAGGTTGGCTCCTGCTCATGAGAAGGAAGCACTGGGTGCCACTGGAATCCTCCCTGCACTGCCAGGATGTCCAGGAGCATGCCTTGGGGAGGCCACCAGAGCCTCATTCAGGAGAGAGTTGCCTCTCCTCCAACACATCTGGGAAAAGGAGCTCAGATCAGGGCCGCCATCCAGGCTGAGGTGCAGTGTCTGGACTGCTGTTCAGAGAAACCGGGAGACCTTCTGGAAACCCTCCCTTGTTCAACCTTCCCTCTAGGGTTGCCAATTCCAGGTTGAGAAATTCCTGGAGATTTGGAGGAGGAGCCTTGGGAGGGCAGGGTTTGGGGAAGAGAGGGACCTGAGCACAGTATCATGCCACAGAGTCCACCCTCCAAAGCGGCTGTTTTTCCCCAGGGGAACTGAACTCTGTCATTCGAGGAGAACTCCAGGCTCCACCTGGAGGTTGGCAACCCTACCCTGCCTCCTCTCCTTGCCAGACGGTGTTTTCAGGCAACAGTGGCCCCTGCAGCAGCCTTGCTGTTCTCCCACTGCACTAGACCTTCCCCTGATTCTCTGGCTCTCCAGCCCCGTTTCCTGCACCTCTTGTCCCCCCCCCCCCAGCAAGGTGACATGGGATGGTATAAATCAACATTTAAGAATGAATAAATCAATGAAACAAATCATGACTCAAAATAAACAGCGAAAGAAAAAAAGAAAAATCCCTTCTCACGTTCAAAGTCAAGGAAAAAACTAGGGCCTTGGTCAAGCTCGTTATAAGTCAACACTTTAAGAAGGTTCCCCATGTGACACCTGCAAGAGAAGAGACAAGAGGGAGAAAAGCATGATGGGTAGTGGGGGGCAGGGAGGGGAGGGGTCTGTGGGACAATGTGGTTGTGGAAAGCACCCCACCACCACCACGGCGGCAGGAAGAGTCCTCCAGCAACCAATCTTGGCCTCTAAGTGAGGGTGCTCTCCCATGCCCACACCAAGGGTCATCTTGGAGACAAGAGCACAGATGCTGAATCAGCTCCCCCTGGACAGTAATGTGGAGACCAGAGGCCGAGGCTCCATATTTTGAGTCAAGTCTGGTCCCTTCTGCCTCTTCCTGGCCGAGTGGAGATGAGCGTTGACTGATGGGGAAGGAGATTAATGATAAGGAACAGAGAAGGAAGAGAGTCGCTGTTCTCCGACAAGGTTTCAGGGGGTGCAGCACACACTTTGCTCAACGAGGGGAGGGGGGCAGAAGCTGATGAGGTGAAGATTGCCCCATCCAGGGCCCATTTAAACAGGATGGAGACTGTCTAAAAGCATTTATGCATCAGCATTTTAAAAAGACACCTGCCATAGTTACAGTTGTGGCCCCAGCAGGGGTTGTCCCACCACACAGGGACTTGGGAGCCCTCGCCTGGCCACTGTCACCTTTAAACTGGACCTCATTTCCTTGGGAAGGGAGTGACAGAAGAATCTCTGCCAGATGGAGAGACACCAGAATAACTCCAGGTTGGTAGCAGTGTTGGTCTGTGGTAGAAAAGCAAGTTTCAAGTCCAGGAGCCCCTTAAAAGATCAACAAGATATCCAGGGTATAAGCTGTCGAGAGTCAAAACTCCCTTTGTCAGGCATCCTATTGGTCTTTAAGGTGCTACTGGACTCAGATCTTATCTTGCTCTCTCACCCGAACAGCTGACCTTGAATGGGCCGTTGCTGACCCAAGACAGGTCCCCTTTATTCTCCTTGTTTGAGACACATTGGACAGAGTGTTGTGATCAAGACCTGAGAGTCCCGCCTTTAATTCCTTCCTCAGCCATGCAGCTCACTGGATAATTTTAGACAAATTGCTCTCTGGCACCCTCATCTCCCTCATCACTTCCTTGGTGCTTGGGGGGGGGCAACAGTGGGAGGGCTTCTGGAGTTCTGGCCCTGGTGGTGGACCTCCTGACGACACCTGGGTTTTGGCCACTGCGTGACACAGAGCGTTGGACTGGATGAGCCATTGGCCTCGTCCAACATGGCTTCTCTTACATTCTTATGTTCTAAGGATAACTCCAAGCACTTTATACATTTATTTATTTATTTATTATCCTGTTTACTTCTTTTATCCCTCTGCTTTCTCCCCAATGGGGACACAAAGCCGCTTATATGGTTCTCCCTCCACTGTTTTATCCTCACAACCACAGCCCTGTGAGGTCAGTTAGGCTGAGAGTAGCAGACAAGCCCAAGGTCATTCAGCAAACTTCCATTGTTGGAACCACACACTCTCATACTAACCTACCTCACAGGGTTGTTGTGAGAATAAAATGGAGGAGAAGAGAACTGTGTAAGCTGCTTTGGGTCCCTGTTGGGGAGAAAAGCAGGATATAAGTAAAGAAAATAAATTTGGGAGTGAATGGAGATAGGGGGGAAATGCTTGACTTAAAGGGGACAAAGATTAAAAAAAAAAAACATTTGAGGGAACTCCTTTCGGAGGCCTCCCTCTACTGGGTGCAGCTGCAGAGGGTTGTGCCATACCTAGCCAGACTCCAGGCTTATTCCCTATCTCCAAAGTCTCTGGGAAAACTAGGGATTTCTTGGCTTTCTCCCTAAACTACCATAAACAGGATTCTTTGGGGAAGCCACAAAAGCTAAACTGGTATAGCTTTGTAGGCACCCTTTGCTGCTGTATCTGTCTGGCCCTTCCTAGCAAAGTAAGGTGTTGACCTTATATAAATCTATCTCAAAGGATGCTGCCCTCTCCCAACCCCTGCATTTGTGGAGAAGAGCGACTCCAGCTGCCACCAGCCACAGAAATTCCCCCCTCCCCACGCTTGGGACTTACTTTCAAAATCCAGGAAGAAATGAGGGCAGTTTTCTAAATCTTTGCCCAATACCTTTATCAGATTGCCCATGGCCAGCAGACCTGAGCGAGAGAAACAGAACAGAATAGCAAGGAATGGCCAAGGAGCTGAGAAAAGAGCAGCAGCAGCAACCCCCTCCCCCCATCTCCCGCCCCCATGACTCTCCAGATGGTGGCCAAACCCAGATTGTAAAGTTCCTGGAGATTTGGGGGGTGGAGGCGGAGCCCAGGGAGGGGAGGTACCTGAGTGAGGTATAATGCCATAGAGCCCACCCTCCAAAACAGCCATTTCCTCCAAGAGCACTGATCTCCCTAATCTCGAGATAATTGTAATTTCAAGAGATCTCCTGGCCTCACCTACAGATGTCCCAGAATTCCAGCTGATCTTCAGATGACAAATCCCCTAGAGGAAACAACTGCTTTGAAGGGTAGATTTTATGGCATTATACCTGGCTGAGCACCCTCCTCATAGGCTTGCCAGCTCTGGGTTGAGAAATACCTGGAGATTTGGGGGGAGGGGCTGAGGAGGGTGGGATTTGAGGAGGGGAGGTACAATGCCATAGAGTGCACCTTCCAAAGCAGCCATTTTCTCCAGGTGAACTGATCTCTGTCACCTGGAAGTCAGTTGTAATCGCAGGAGATCTCCAGGTCCCTCCTGGAAGCTGAGAACCTTACCTCCCCCAGGATACCCTCGCAAAAAAAACAAAATCCCCAAGAATGACCCAACCTGGAGCTGGTAACTCATCTGGCACTGTTGGGATGCCTCTGTGTATGCACTTTCTGCCTTTGCCTGTTGGGGCCTTTAGGAGAACTCAGGCCCCGGTCACACGGGCCAGATATCGAGGGGGGGAGGCGTGGCTGTTTGCCCCGGAGCGAACTACTGAGCTGCCGGCGGATCATACATCCCGCTGATGTCCCGTGGTTCGGGGGGAGGTGCCGATCATATCACAATCCTGTGGCGTGGCAAAGAAGCGGCGCGGCGTGATCACAGAGGCGCCGCTGCCGTGGCAAACGAGGTTGTGGGATTTTTTAAAACCAAAGTGTGCGCATGCGCCGGTGGGTGCTTGCGCACATCCCGTGGAGACTTGGGGGGGGGAACCTTTTCGCCTTGGGACATGGGCGAGCTCTGGATGCCACGGCCTACCACCCGAAACATGATTAGATGCCTGCCCTTGCCCCGCTGTTTCCGGAAACTAGTACCTTGGAGGTACTAGTTTTTTATGGCGCATCTTTGGCGGGAAGCCTCGGGTGAGCCATGGGAGCTCTACACTTCCCAGATGTTGCGGTATGATCGTGCCTGGAAAATCCACCTATCTTCCGTCTCTGTAGAGTGGCTAATGCTCCGTGTGACTGCAGCCAAAGTAGCCCTGGGTGGTTGCAGGACTGGGTACTTCTGGGCTGCAGTGGAGTAACTCCTGCTCAAATGGTTAGTCTATGGAGTGGAAAAGAAGCCTCCCCCACACATGTGAATGCTGCAGTTGGGTTGCTTGCTGGGGAGTCTAGTGGAGGTGGAATGCTCTGGAAACACCTGGAAGGTCCTCAGAAGAAGCCTGCATCGCAGCATAGCCAGATACAAATGAGAGACCATGGAGGTGGTTGTGGGGTTTCCACTGAGACCCAGGGTGGGGGTGCTTATAGCCCTCCCGGCTGAGCTTCCCTTCGTCCCCTCTTGCGTTTGGACAGAAGGACATACACAGACCGCTAGGTGTGCTTAGGCCAGGTATGCTGCATCAGGCTTGGCTCCCTGGAGCAATGGGGCCCCCGGAATTCTGTGCCCCGTTCTGCCTCCTGTGGCACACTGGTTGCCAGCTCAGCTTTCCCTTGTGCCAAAGATGGCAGAAAGGGAGGGAGAGGGGCAATGGTTGCCCATGGCCTTTGCAGACAAGAAAGCTTTGCACGAGGCCAGGAGAACATGCCCTGGCGGGTGTGATGGCTCAACAGCACTGGCCCTTGAAGTACCTAGGAGTTTCACATTGGGGTTGGGGGGTGGAGGTGGCCCTGGCAGACCTCCGGCTTTAGGGTTGCCAGGTCTGAGATGGGAAATACCTAGAGATTTGGGGCGTGGAGCCTGGGGAGGGGCCTCAGCCAGCAATAATGCCATAGAATCCTCCCTCCAAAGCAGCCATTTTCTCCTGGGAATACATCTCTGTCATTTGGAGATCAGTCATAGTTCCAGGAGATTTCCAGGGCCCACCTGGAAATTGGCAACCCTGCATGGGAAGGCAAGGGGTTTTGTCAACCTTTGGGGAGGATGGGGGTGGAATGGCGAGGGCCCCCTGCCCGCAGCTGACAATGAAGCAAAAGCCCTGCCTCCAAAACAGCAGAAGTGCTTTACCTTTACCTTAATTCCTGATGCTTCAGCAGCCTCTACAGGAAGAAGGGAGGATCTGTAGGGTTCGTAAAACCCCTCATCAACCAAGAGAAACCTGCAGCATGGAAGGGGGGTGGGGGGAGAGGGAGAGAGAGAGAGAATGCCCCGTCAGGTTTCCAAGTTCAGACCTTCCCCTTCAAAGTGCTGATAGAGGCCGCTCAGAGGGAGCAATGTCCTTGGTGGACTCCCGGAGTACCACAACAGCTACACCCAGCTTCAGAGAGAGGGGAAGCCTTCCTCAAGGTCACCAGGCACTCTTTCAGACCGGCAGGAGTTTTGGCCAAGGACCTTTGGCCCCATCAGAGTCCTTTGTCTTCCCTTGCATTGCCAGGCCACCTGCAGACATCCTTTAGTATAAATTTGAAGAGATCCTTCCGTTACCTGAGCTCTTTCTGCAGTGGATCACAGGCTAGGTGATATCTGGGCAGCGTTGCCAATGTTTAGGTGGGGCCTGGAGATATCCCAGAATTATAGCTGATCTCCAGACTACAGAGATGGAGAAAACGGCAGCTTGAAGGGTGGGCTTTCTGGCATCACATCCCTGCGGAGCTCTCCCCCTCTTCAGGTTCCTCCCTCCCCAGAGTCTGCCCCTAAATCTTCAGGAATTTTCGAGCTGGAGTTGGTAACCCTGTTTGCTGCTCTGAGATGTTCTGAGGCTGCCTGTGTTTCTGCAAGGAAAAGGGGAAACACTGCAAAGGCAACGATATCTTGTCCAGAAAGGCAGCCTCTGTGGGAGGGGGTGAGGGAGATTACACACAGAAACCTCACTAGCTTGACCCCTAATGATTTTATTGAATGGAAAAGACTTTGCATGCAGTTCCACAGGTTTCCTGGCACAGACCTCATTGGAATGGGCAAGAGCAGCATCGTTGCAACAGGCTTAGATTGTGCCCTTTCCTCAGACACATGAAGCTGCCCGCTACAGAGCCAGACCATTCGGCTATCAAGCTCTGCTCTGACTGGCTGGGGCTCTCCAGGGCCTAAGGGGGAGGTCTGTCCCATCACCTACGGCCAGATCGTTTTAACCACGGATGCCAGGGATTGAACCTGGCCCCTTAAGCATACCAAACAGAGGTTTTAACATTGAGCCTCTCTCTAAATGAAGCAGCCTTATACTGAGACCACTGGTCTATCAAGGCGAGCTCTGATTGGCAGCAGCTGTCTGAGGTCTCAGAGTTCTTACACATCACCTCCTGCAGGGACAGATCCAGGTTTTTTTTTGGGGGGGGGGAGCTGGGCAGGCAGTTCCCAGGATCTCTTCCCTTCCCTTCCTCTGCCACCACCAGGTACACATGCCCTATTTCCCTCCCACACACCTCCATGCCTCCCACCAGCTTGTGTGTCCTGACTCCTTCCATCTGCTCAAGAGTCCTTGCTCACAACCCCTGCAGCCCTTTCCCCAGTGGTATCCGGCTATGCGTGCAGCGGGGAGCATGGGTAGTGCAGAGCTAGCAAGTGAGTGTGGAAGGGGCAGCGGCAGCAGTGGGCCCTGCCAGAAACCCTGTGCCTCAGCACCTAGGGTTGCCAGCCTCCAGGTAGGGCCTGGACTCCTCCCAAAATTAGAACCGATCTCCAGATTACCGAGATCAGCTCCCCTAGAGAAAATGGGAGTGCCAGAGGGTAGGTTCTATGGAATCACATCCCGGCTGAGCTCCTTCCCCTCCCCAAACGCCATCCTCCTCAAGCGCCACTCCCTAATTTCCAGGAATTTCCCAACACAGAGATGGCAACCCTATCAATATCAGCCCTGGAGATGCTGTCGGGGATTTAATCTGGGATCTTCTGCATGCAAAGCTGATGATCTACCCCTGAGCCTTCCCAAATTGTGCAAGTGGTCTTTCTTGCTAAGAAATGTGCCTAGAAAATGGATTGTTCTCTTTAGCTAAGCCAGCTTTGGAAAAGAGAGCAAATCGGGAAGAAGTACCTTTTTGTCCTTCCACTTATCAGATCTGGATAGATTTGCCAGGGAATGAGCTGGCAAAAAGAACTGTCATTAGAAGAGATCATTTCTTTGCCCTTGCGTGCTTTTGTAAGGCAAAACAGGTGATACCTTATTATGGTCATTAATTAGAAGGTTTTAGTTTTAAAAGTTGTATAGGTAAAATTGGCAGAAGTCTCAAAGTTAGTTGTGTATTATTTGCAGCTCTCTCCACAAACACCTCCCCTGCCATTTCCAGCCACTGACTACTGCTGTGATGTTGTGGAATGTTCACTGACATTCTTAACTACTCAGAACGAAGCTGTAAGCAACACAGTGTTATAAAACAGCACAGCTTCTGGGAGATAAACAAAAGACCAGTGTCAGATGCAAAAACTTGAGCAGCACTCCAAAACAGGAATAACTATATGTTGTGGTCAGTTGAGTATAGACAGTCAAGGTGGCTTAAGGGTGGATGGAAAAGAAGTAGGAAGTGGGCTGTATTCAAGGTACCCATTTGCATTTACAGTCCAGATCACAATACATTATTTTAGTCCTTTCCGCACTTGGATCTCATCCCTGGTTTTATCAGAGTTCAACTCACGACACAATACCTTGCATTTATCCCTGGTTATAACAGCATCCGTTTATCCCGGGACAAGTGTGGGGCAAAACTGGGATGACCTCAATGTAACGTGGAAACAAAAAATACCCCAAGATAATTACAGGGGTGAACTCGCATGTAGTGTAGAATGTAAGTTCGGGGACAGGGTTGAACCAGGATTTAAGGTCTAGTGCGGAAAGGATAAAGGAGTTTATTCAAACCCTTTCATTCCTCCTTGCCTGGATAAAACCATGGCCGTAGTAAACTGCCCATCAAAACTGATTGCCAAAAACTAAGGCTGCAGGTTTTCATTTCCATACCACTGCTTAATTCTTCTTTGGGAGCAAATACAGAAAACAATAGCTTGTGCTGAATGGTGCAGGCAAGGTGTTTGCTTTAAACCCAGCATGTATGAACTTGGCCTTCTTTATACTTGGTTCCTCTTCCTTCCATTGTGGTCCCCCATCCTATGCTAAATCAATTATGAAGCACCAACAAGCTGAAGAGGTGTTCAGAACAACAGTAAACTGCAAAAGTTTCTTGTTTACAGGTTCTCCTTCTTCAAACGATTATTTCCTCAGAATAAAAACCCAAGTTTCTCCGGAGGCTGAAATTAACTTTTTGTGAATCAAATGAAATTGAGATGCTGCAGTCCTCCAGAAAAAGGCCATTTTTTTAGCATGCTGGTGAGTCGTGAGAGAAGTTTTTTCTCTCTGCCCAAAACAATGTATAACCCTGGGGAAAAACAACAACACACCATTCCTCTGGCCTTAAACGTTTAAAAAGAGCAGAACTGCTCAAGAATTGCTCAGGTGGTCTATATTAAAAACTACTACTTGTTGGCAGCAGCATCGTGTCCCAGTGTTCTTCACACATGACAAAATGCTCTGAAGTTTGGGGGCTGTAAAGCTTGAAACAGGTCAGATTGGTGACCATTCCAAGAAACCTGTGCAACTGCCATATATTTTTGGTCTCCTTTGGTTATATATTTATCTTGGGAGGAAGGGGGCAATGCCTAGATACCTACATTGTGATCCCATGTCCCACAATCATCAACAGATATTTGGCAAATGTGCACTCAAGTCTCTGCTTCTTGGAATTTTCAAAGCATGGAGATCAGCCTTTTCATTGTGTTGGGCCTGTGGAGTTCAAAACTTAAAATGCCATCAGCATCGCAGGAAACATCTTCCGAATCAACTAGCATCTGTAGTATGTCAAAGTAAAAGAGCTCTGAGGCAGAAGAAATGCCAAAGGGTAATTTCATAAATGAAAATCTCCATGAAGATTGTTAATGTGGATGATAGCTCAGCTAGGGGAATCTGCAAGTGTTTTTGTTACCCACAGCTAATGGTGCTAAAGGGTTGCTGCATCTTTCTGGAACACAAACTGGTCCAGCTATGCCTAGTCAACAGAAACCCTGATTGTGCCATTGGGTGTTGACACAGACACAGTCCAAGTACTCTTCAAACTGCAGCATCACTACTTCTTCTTCATGGCAACAGCACTCACCTGGAGATATTTATGACATGAGAAAATGCAAGGTCAGTTCCATGGGAACTGATCAAGAAGTTCACAAGACCGGGTGTTTTCACTGGTACAGCGGTTGAGAGGAATCATCTGGAGCTTCAGGATTGTCAGTAAGAAGATGGCACCCACCTCTTTCTCAAAGCACCCGTGAGAAAATATCTGCATTCTGGGCCAGTGTCTGGAAGCTGTGGGCCAATGGCTGAGGACAAACAAGCTGAAACGGAACCCAGAGCAGATGGAAGTGATGCTGATGAGGAACCCCAAAATTTTTGATGGTCTTCGGAGGTGGTGGTGGGTGCTCTTCTCATCTTCAGCAGTGATGGTGGGTGCTCATCTCGTCTGAGCAGGTGTGGTGCCTGCTTTCTGATTCACACCTTTTGAAGTCCTCTTGACCCTCTGCTTTGCTCCTTTTGATCAAACATGTGCTGAGAGTTCTGTGCCAGGAGCTTAATTGCCCAGGTGCACATAGGCCTGATTCAGATCAGGGCCATGGTGCAAGGGGAAAGGGGCAGTAAGCCTCTACCCTGCACCATTCTTCTGGCCAGAAAAGGCTCCAGTTGGGTTGTCTCTGTGGACTGCAGCTGGCATCATGGGCTACCTGTAAGTTTCCCCAGTGGGGCAAATAGCAGTCTCTAGTGGTGATTCAGGCAAGAAAAATGGTGTAGCCCTTCTCCCTGCACTCTATGGTCCCAATCCCATGCACACCTGGGAATTATGTTCTGAGCAAGGCGCTCCCAGCACTTGTCTGATCAAAAGGACTGGGGTGAACACATGGGGATCACAAGGAATTTATAATGTGTGAATCAGCCCCACAACAATCCAAGATCCTGCCTGACTCAAGGATAAAGAAGCTGCGATGGTGGCCTTTTATGAGACACACTTGTTATACAGGCCCCACCCCCTTGCAACACTGGCCTATGCTTTTGCAGCTCTGAGGAATTACTATACGCTCCATCTTGGATTGCCCTTGGACACTCTTCGGGGGGAACAATAGGTACAGCATGCC